GATGGATAGAGATTACCTCTATTATATTATGACTGATACTCACCTTTGCCTTTTAAGTTAACCCCGCACACACTACAGTTAAAACATTCATTATGTATACCTTTTTGACCAAGTTTCACAAACTTTCCCCTGTAAAATCAAACAACAAAATCTTACAAATAGTCGGTTTTAACTGTACTTTTTAGAGGCTGCATATACACATCTTGGCGTGTAAATCCGGACACACACACTTTTGCCAACGATCCGACTGCCACCAAAAGTTTTTTGGGACATGCGCGTATCCCGGACCCTGTTCTGTTTAGTTTGTGAAGTTCGATTGACACTCCTGAAAGATCCAATGCAATATACAGTATTACTGTATTCTAAATTCATAAATAAGTTCTGTGGCCGTGGTCTCATCGGCAGTGGCGTATGGTGAGGGGGCGCACCCCTAAAAAAGGTTGCCCGTTCCCCATTGGATAATTGTTAATAACGATAGGGCCTATTTACACATTTTTAAAAGACATGACATTTTGGGTGTTGACACATACATGCTGACGTCGGATAGTTAGAATTATGATGGTGCATTATCCTTATTTTTCACCAAATTGTGACGGTGTGACGCTATAATTTTTTCTTGTCTCACTAATGGTGATGGAGCTTTGTTGTGATTGGTTAAGGCCTATAACATAAGCTTGGTACTGATGAAACTATAGTCAAGGCAAGTAGGCTCTATCGTCACTCCAAACCTAATTTAGTCGGGTGCCTCAACCATTAGGTAGTTTTCGCCCCACGACGTTAACCCTAACGTTAACGGCTGACGTCACAATTTATTCATCTTGCGTTGCCGAGTACGCTAATTTCAGGATTTACGTGCTCGACGTACGTTAGTTACGGGTTTGCGCATGCGTATTTCGATTTGTTTACAAAAAAGGGCGGAGCTATCGCGATGCATGTTGGGTACTAACGTTAAAGTTAACGTTAAAGTTAAGGTTAACGTTAAAGTTAAGGTTAACGTTAAAGTTAAGGTTAACGTCGTGCGGCGAAAACTACCTATTTACTCATGAGTGACGATAGATCAGACAAATACCTTGTAGTACCAGGGAACAGTTAAATTTAAATGTTCCCCGGTACCGGTAGTACCTCCCACAATATAACCGTCTTGGAGCTTATTAAAAGTTATTCTTTACATTTTGTCAGGTAATTACATAAGTACTCTCGTTAATGTCAGAGTAAGATGTATGTACCACAATACTTTAAAAACAGATTGTGAAAGGAAACATAAAATCTACGCAGGCTTTTTTTATATTTCTGTTCAGCAAATTCTTCATATATTACTTATTGTGGGGGATCAGTTTAAATCTCCCCTTTTCATCATTATTACAGATTTGCTTCAATGCAAGAAGCAGAATGATTTATTGAAGGTTTCTTCTGTCAGGTATTTACGTAATACCTGTACCACTTTTTGTGCCAGGGTACGACGCTTTTAAAATCCTAATTCTAAAGCAATTTGTAATCTCTCTACACGCACATTGTTATTTGATATTTTAACGTTCGTTGAACTATATTGAATATTGTAAGTTGTTTCCTTGTGCATCGCCGAGCGATCTGTTCGCATATTTTTGACATAGGCCTCCTTTATGCATAGATATCAGATATACTTAACTGCTAGTATACAATAAGTACTGTTCAGTTGTTTCACTATTTAAAAATAGGTATATCAAAATTTTATTCTATAGCTTGTACAGACAATGGTGTAAAAAATCTTGTCAGTCAAATATAATACAATAAGCTCGTTTCTGACTATTCAGTGGCGTACTAAGACGACTGAGGCCGCCCCACTGACCAATGCTTCTTCGGCCCCTACAATTATTGCTCCTGTCCACTCCGGTGTTTTGGGCGTGTCATGGCGTATTTTTGATGTTTTTTACACGATCGGCCGTTGATGCTGGCAAATATAATGACAATTCATACCCCTTAAGTTTCGGGCCCCTGTGCTTAGAAAGTAAGAGCTGACTGTACAACCTAAGTAGATATAGCGTAGAAAGAAAAGTCTTAAAACACATTTTTTTGCACAAATATTTGACGATAATCGTAAATGGTGAGTAAGACACAATTAACTAGTCTACAAGCTCAGTGGTTATAGGCATACAATGTATGTACAAAATGATCAGTTTAAAATGTCATTACTACAAGATCCTTGGCCTTCCATGCGTTGTTCCGTGCAATGAGGAAGTGGCTTGTCCGGTTAAACGAGGGACGCCCACCCCCCAAAATAAATCCACACTCTCGCCACCGCAACCCCATAACAACTTTTTTAATAATCTCCATAGTGCATGCTATGGTATTGACTATCAGCATGCCTTGATAATTTTATATTTCCTTTGCCTAGCATTTGTAGTCAAACAGTATTGAAAATACACCTGCTTTCTTGACATCAAAGTAAGGTAGGCTTAGATTTTCACAAAACACAATACTCTTTAGTAAAGTTAATCGATTAGAACTGTAAAAACCAATCTCTCGTACGAATAAAATATAACATTGTTATACGATGTCAATTTCCTGAGATATTCGCCCTGTTAAAAATAATGTAAAATGGTCCACGGACATCGTACTAAAACTGAATTTAAATTTGTTTTCGTATTTATTTTACTTTGATACAATAGGCTTTCGTTTCCTAGAGGCAGGTGACGGCTAATACCACAACACGATGTTTTTAAGATTGATTTTCATTTATATATTTAGTTTAGTAACCAATACTAGGTCTGTTTGTCATTTTGAAAAAGATGGATTAGAAAGAATAACCTTTACACATGTTTCAAACGTTTTTAATAAACTATGGTTCGGTATAAAACTGAAATTATGTATCTTAAAAGTTAATTAAAAATATTTTTAGGCATACAGTAATCCATGAAAGATCGGCCAATACACGACCAAAACAGTAGCTAAGCTTGATCAAAAACCAATTTATTTTATGGGATTCTAGAACTGGTTACCAGTAGAGCATATAACAATGTGTCTTTGATTCACGTAGTCATGTGTTTCTGTCAACTTATGTGCTTCTGACAACATAGTCGATTACCGGCGTGCTTGCGTGGGGTAAATGAGTCTAATTTGATTATTTTTTCTTCGTCTTCAGACAGACGTTCCATCATGTCTAACCATTGGTCAATAATGGGCAGGCCTATAACGTAATAATTTATTTCAAAATATTCGATGCGAGATGTTATTTACATTACTCAGGAGTGGTCTCATCTCGTGCTTAGTGTTTAGTAGTTTTGCACAATACTATCAGCGCGCGTATGTTATATAGACTATTAAAACTAGGCTGATTTTCTATGTAAAGACCAACTTTGAGGTCCGAAATGTGGTCTCGAATCGGAGGGCGAACTGTAAACAACAACAACAAAAAAAACGTACAGGCCTATTGTATAAGGTTGATAAGGTGTTTGTAAATTAAAGTTACAATTCTGAAAATCTAAACCAAATAATAATAATATAGTATACCGGTATTTTATTTTAAGAGACGTTTAAAGCATCAAAATATCAGAAATCCAATTCTAGTTAATTAGAAATGTTGAAAACATTCTTAATTACCAATTATCATATTGCAATCAGTGAAGCAAACAGAAATCCACGTGTAATTTGTTTTTACGCTATCTTTTCGAAAACAAATCGATTTCTGGGAGGCCTATGGATAGGTCATTACTAACGTCTTCCGTAACAATTGAAGGAAGGAAAAATTGAATCTGCTTCAACAACTGGCAGTCTCACGCAACGAATACTTCAAGCGACGTTCCCACATAATTTTTGTCTTAACCCAGTTTGATTAAAAAAGTCAACATTCTGAGCTCTACATCATGACTGATTGTCTATGACGTAGCGCGTAACCTCTTGACGTAAATTCATACATATGGCCAAGACAAAAAAAGAAGTTTCTCGTCCTAATATTTTGAAAAAAGGAAAATGAGGGCACATTTTTTTTTTTTTTTTTTTAAGTTCGAGATGGCAAATCCAAGATGGTCGCTGGGAAACGGCTATACTTTCTCACTTTAGGAATTTTACCGATGTGATTTAGCCAGATTTTCGTAATATAAAGGAAATTAAAAAAGATAAAAAAAAAATGGGTGAGACAGAGAAATTGGATTACCGAGGAGCATATTCATGACGCGCAAATTAATCTTTAGAATACGCGGAACTGCCACTTTAATTATTGTGTTATTTACAATTCCTGAAGGTATGTGACCAGGTGCTAGTTATTCAAATTTATAAATCAGATTTCAATAATATTACAATATCTACAGGAAAATGCATTCATAGGGCCGTCAGCCACAATTTAAAGGATACTTGATTAAAAATATTGTCCTGAAAATAACATTTAGAGTACATCACAATATCGATTGGTAACAGCGACGACGTGACCTCATCACTTCGTGGAAAATACGCAGGTGTGATCGTAGTATTTCCCCATCTTCATATATCTATCAAGACTATTATATTTTAAAATGAACAAAATGTAGGATATTAGTCTTACTTTTCACTATATCACCGCAGGTGATTTTGATATATAACATATTTAAAACACAATAAATCTCTATTCCTCACATTCTACAAATAGGTTGGTATTGTGACACGATTAATAACACGACGATACAGTATGTGTCATCTAGGCATATAAGTATTTTGCTTTCACGTTCTCAGCTACATGGAACACTGAAACGTGTAGGCCTACGCTTAGAAAACTTAAAGAATCACTTCATATCATGACACTTAATTCTCCCAAGCGCCACCTCGTTTTTTATCGCCCCACCCCATGCATCCAGGTTAATAATTTACATAATAACAAAAGTTGTTTGCTACAACCCGGCACACGACTCGTCCAGCCAACGATTGTGGCCGGGGAGTCAATCAACAATGTGTGTCAGCGATTGACTGACACTTCTGATATCGGCGTCTGCTGATATCGGTGGCACTAAGTAGATCGTCGTTGAACACGATCTGTCACGCCCCTTCCTATTCGCGTTGCAGTCTGCATGGATTTGCGGCTGTCTCTTATACACATCTAGATGTGTATAAGAGACAGGGGTGGGTGTGCTCACTATAATAAAAGATTACCAATGGTAATAGTAATTGTTGCGCTGTTATATACTTACACTAATTTCTCTCCACATATTATGCATATGTTTAAGCCCGGCTTTACTGGTTCACGGTAGCCTCCCACCGAATCTTTGACGCGTTTAAAAGCTGTTTCCTTACCAGTAACATCACCACTGAAAATCGACGGCGCAGGTGCTAAATGATATGAAAAAAAAATCTATAAATTGATCAACAATAATCGATAAACAAGAACGCCTAATGATTTCAACAGCATTTGTAAACAAGTACACTCGTTTATAATACATGATCACTTAGGATTTGTAACATACGGCTTTATGTAACATGTGAAGTTGGGAGTCTCGTGTGCTAGTTATGTCACGATTACTATTAGGCCTAATTGAGTTGCTTCTCGAGTCACTGTGTGTATCATCTTGCTTACGTAGAAGGATTCACAGGTAAGATACATGACACGGGCCGCTCCTTCTGTGGCCGTACAAGGGGCATAAATATGGACCAGTACGAGTTAGTGAAATGCTGTTAGGCCTAGGCCTGTGCGTATAGGCCTAGTGCTAATTCGCGGCTCGAGAGTTACTAGATCGGTTATTGTTACGATAATACCTTGCTAGATTGATGGATGAATGGATGGATTGATTGATTGATGGATTGAAGGATGATCGATTGATTGATGGATTGGTGATGGATTGATGATTGATCGATCGATCAACATTCGATCGACTGACTCATTGATTGATTGATTCATTTACTGATTAATTGATTGATTGATTGATTGAACGATTGATTGGTTGATTGATTGATTGATTGATTGATTGATTGATTGATGAATGGATGGATGGATTGGACGATGGATGGATTGATTGTGATGGATTGATGGATGGAGGCGTGACTCAGATAGCGGCACATGACCGAGAGCCGTAGAAGGGACCCGTCACGTATTCAAAAGCGCAGCGACCCTACGACCACACACCCGGTCACAGGACCAGTAAACAGTAAGAGTCTTATCTAAATAATTTCACTTCGGTTAGTGATTTTGGCTGCTGCCGTGGGTGGGATGGGAGCGGGCGAGCGCCCCTTTTGCCATTCTTGGATTCGCCAATACGTTTTAAAATTGCAAAAGAGATTGATTCGGGCTCATTTTATATCTAATTACAGTGGCACTGGTGTTTAATAACGACGTGGTCACCTACCGCCTGTACCGGGTTCGTCAAGCATCTTAAACGATTTGGAGACCGTGAATGGATTCGCACCCAGACCAGAGGCCGTGTTTGCAAGATCATCCGGTGATATCTGTGGTCTAGGGATCTTCCCAGCGGCATCGTCATCCTGCTCCTGTTGAGAAATCACATCGAGAATTATTGCCTAATAGACATTTTAGAGAGAGGGGTGGCGCCAGGATTTGCCGGACGGGGTGGGGGCGGAGCCCCCGGCGAGGTGGACAATTTCCCTGACGAAAGCAAAGTGGGCGTGGTCGAGCGTCGCTTAAAATGTTTCGAAAGTACTGCAGGGGCCGGGGGCGGAGCCCCAGAAAAAAATAGACAATTTAGGGGTTTCAAAGGCTTATTTTATAGGGTTTACTAATATGTATAAAATACATATAATTTTTTTTCTCTCCCCGACGAATTGTGGTTTTTCTCCCCGACGACGGGGGGGGGGGGGAATCCTGATTTCAAAAGTCTAAAATGTGTATGTACGTCGCAGTATAAGACGATCCCAATGTTTTTCGATCTTAATTTTCTATTTTAAGCCTCGTCTTATGAGCGAGTATACAGTATGTCTGATTCCGAATAAAGGAATAAAAAAATTACAAATACAGTAATGAGTCTTGGATGAGTTTGATATAGGCCTACTTGTTGTAACAATCACTTGATGAATCTTTTCAAAAATCAGGCCTCCGTAATCGATCAGATATAATAAACATATAAAATTTTTGACCAGATTTGAGAGGTCTGCAATCAGTTTAAATAATGTTAGATCTTTATAGGTCAATTACTCTTTAATGTGTTTTAAGACCTACTTTTTGTAACACTTACTTGATGAACAGCAAGTGATTGTGTGGATGAATAAATGTTATATTGAATTGAATTGCCTGGGACGGGGGCTCAAACGGCCACAGATTGTATTCCGAAAATTCATCTTATGAAGTGCTTCCATATTTTTTGTATCACCCCCTCCTCCTATAGGCCCGTAGCTTGTAGACCAAATCATGCCTTGTTAGTTTACCTGCTCAAATTGTTGCGGTCCCATATTAGCTTCATGTGGGATATTGAGGGCTGAGGTGAGAAAAATGTAAGGGTATGGCCCTTCTAGATGCCCGGATGCAGGCACAATACACGAAATTACCGATTATGTTATAATTATCCTTGTAAAACATCATTTTAGCCTAAGCGCTATTTTTTAAAATTATGTCAGAATCAAGCCTATAATGAATAATTAGGCCTATTATAATTAATATATCGATATAGTTAATACATAGGGCCTACATTGCATAATTATTATCGTCGATATTTCATTTATTATTATAATTTAATGTTATATTTATACATCTATATAGGCCTACATAATATTATTATCATTATTAAACAGTATACATACATCTTTTTAGGCTATATGTAGGCCTATAATAATTATTCAGCATTAGGCCTATTATATTTTTATCATATATTATGGTACACAACATTATTATGTATATCATCAAAAATTACAAGCCAGTGTTATGCTTGTCGTAAACCATAACGTTTGAACTTAACGTATAATGTTACTGAACATCATCGTCATTCAAAGTCCTTACAAACGTCATCATTATCATCTTCACTCGAGCCTTGATAAGAGTGGCTACCTCGAGTTGAGAGCATTCCGTAAGTACCATAAACATTCTCAAGTTTTTAGACAAGGCTTCGGGGATATGCCGTGAGAAGTATAATAAATCAAATTATAGGACACAAGACCGAATTGACTCACTGCAATCTTCTAGCTACACGGAAGTCTCCAACGGGGGTGACCTCTATAATTATTGTTTTACATAATAGAACCGTTCATAGCAAAGTTGTCAATCATCATGATAATATCATTAAGTATAAACAAATAACATTCGACATACCCAGACGCAGTTGAAATTACAAGGGCTAAATCTCTGCCCAGATTATCAAAATGTCTTTGACAAAACACTGTTGTATGCCCATATATAGTCATGATGTGCCTATATATGGTCATGATGTAACGTCATCATGACCATATATAGGCATGTCACATGTTTTTGTCAAATAACATTTAATAGTTTGGACAGGACTTTATTCTGCTGATCATTTTGTTCGAGCTTAATAGGTTGTTGGGCTATTTTCCTGTTAAAATGGGTTATAATGACAGCCGAAGTCTACAATCAAATTGTCTGACAAATTGATAGACATTCGGCTATAGGCCTAATTATTATTAGTGATAACCGCACACAGCACGCATCTCGATTCCAAAATCACTGTTCAATGTCACCATAATTAATTCCGTTTGTTCGCCTAAAATTGGTTTCATGTAAAGGTTTATTAAATAATTTCAAGGCATAGTTCATTAACATTGTAGACGAAACGTATGTTCATCAATGAGCGCTCGGTCTCTCATCGAACGTCTGCATTATTGGTGATGAAATAAACGTATTATAATTCAGGCGGAGGAGGGGCTGGGGCGCTATCATGACAGGGGTCTGGCAATTCCGGCGGAGACAGTTGGGTCCAGGAAAAATCCCTTGCAAACGTGAAAGTGTAAATCTCTGGACAGCGCTGGGCACAGGACCCTGGTCGAGGAAAAAGCCATTCTATTTGACAAGCATTTTTACAGACTGAGAGTGCCTCTCCATCATCTACATGGTGCATATGCCTATTCTTTAAAATGTTTCTACACTAGTCCTATGGTGAAACTGAAATGGGTGTGTTGGGGAATTTGAATCTCCCCTCGGGGACTCATTGGACCCCGGTCTGGGACCTTAGACCCTGGTGGGTAGTCCCTTGCTCCACCACTCTTGTCAGCAGTAGGGGAGAGGGGGG